TTTTTGTGATTACCAGCAGAGGCAATATGGGGCGCCGTAATTCACTTGCAAATGCAGCATGTATAAGATGGCATTATGCTTTTATTGGCAACTGAAAATATTTCTAATATAAGGGCAGACACAAGGGGAAGAATAAGAAGGCACTGTGCTGGGTGCAGCCTTCAATAACACAATTTTGTGTTCAGCAGCAATAGAAGACTCCCCCCTGTGCTGCACATATACTGCACTGGCCTGTCAAACAGACTTTTATTATGAGAGAGAGAGGGGAAGAGAGCATCTGAGACAGCACGAGCAATTACTGTACAGTGTTATTTGGTGTTTTGTTATTTCCTGGCACCGTGCGTGTTTATGAGGACATGCAAGCAAGTGTGCATTGTCTGTCTTTTGCCACATATTCTTCTTGATTCAGTAAGATAAATGGGAAATGCATGCATTTCTTAAAGCCAAGATATACAGGTGACATCTGGAATACTAGATGAACATAAGCTATAGCATTTTTCTACATTAATTTTGGTTTCTCACATGTATCACCACCTTTTCTTCCCTGACGTCAACATCAGGCTCTTTGCAAGGTATCATTTTCTTTAAAGTATCAGAGAACAGCAGCAAAATACTAATATGTGCATTAAAATCAACTTTTTTCAAGTGTATATTAGGCGGATGTGAAATCTGAGTCATTGATAAAGATGAATGCACTGAGTACTTCACTAGCCACCCCACTACTAATTGTGTGACATTTATTTAAACAGTGTGTAAAACCTTTGTTTCAAAGTGACTCACAGGCTAATTTCTACTTGATCTATCATATAACTAATATTTGTGAGTATAATTTGATGGTAAAATGACAACATATTAAATTCATTTAGTTTTGTTGCTCAGTAAACAATTTTGTTCGGTCATTATAACAATAGGCCTGTATGACAGACCTGTTGTATAATCCCCAGACCTGCCCTGCACTATCATTTTATAGGGCTACAGAAAAACTAACCTCTTTTTTATTTGCTTGATTTAGGCTAATGGATTATAATGATCTGATAGTGAAGTGAAGCCCAGAATGTTTGCAACATTCTAATATACTTCAACTCTTAATTGCCCTTTAATTTAAGAAGCAGGTTTAACTGAGGTATCTGGTAATTTACTAAGTAAATCCAGGAAAAGGGCTCTTCACATCTGTTCATGTTCCAGAGTTTAGGGGGTTTCACATTCTACTTAAAAGTTATTGAGATACATTAGTAAACCAATTCTTGGAACATGCCACCGAGCAGCTGGTGAGCAACTGCTGAGTTCTGTTTGTCACATCGAGTGTCTGATGCAACTACTGCAGTCACTGAAGGCTAGAAGGCAGCAGATTCCACCACAAGGTAAAACCTCTGATGAGTTATTAACATCAACAACCAGCTTAATATAAAGATCCTAGTGTCAGAATGCCACTGTGCTCTGCAACCTTCAATGAACATGTTACTAGCTACATGTTATGCATTTGCAAACAAAATCATCTTCCCTGAACTAAAACTTTTTTCAAAATATCACTATGTTGACAAGTTATTGACACAGTGGGCTCTACCTTTGCAGCAATGTTAATTGTTAACAGCACAGCTCCTGACACAAAGCAATGACAGTGGTACAATCCAGCAGTAAAGGGACTGAAAAGGTGGAGCAAATAAAACAGAATGAGCTAAATAAATAAGGGTCTTATAGAGTATCATTAATCTTTTTGAAACATGTCACTTTTTCTTATCCATAATTCTAATTCAGTAGTGAAACAAATAATCAAACCACAAATAAAACATATCACATTTACCTTTGAGATTATGGTGCATAAACAGCAAGGAGACACTGAAGCATGTTTGTCCAGCATCAGACTAGAGACTGAAACAGCATGGTTTGAATTCTGTACAAGCAAACATCCCTTTCATAAGTTATTTGGTAGATTTGAGTAACTCTCACTGTATGCACTGAATATCCATTTTGGGAAAAAGTGGAAACTATATCAACATTTTCAAGAATACAGTAGAATACTGTTATGTTAAAGATTTGATGATGAAAATGTATTTCCACTAATGCATTATCAAGAAAACCTACTTTTTAATAAGGTGCAGCAAATGAAAATATTATGTTAAAACATTAGTCACTGCAATTTATTAAATGGTCCTTTTATTACCATGCCCTTCAGATCTCGTCCCTCCAGATGTTGTACACTGTGGCATATGCTGTACTTTTCCTTTATGCACACATTTAGAACTTGTCCTACATATTCCTGGATTAATAAGGCCCCTAGCCAATCATTCTCTTCCAGAGTGGGATGCCATGTTCTGTCAGTCCCTCCTTCTTCTTGTCTACAAATCTTCATTTGAGGAGTAAAATGTGGATAAAAACATTTATATACACTATATTGCCAAAAGTATTCACTCACCCATCCAAAACATTGAATTCAGGTAGTCCAACCATTTCCATGGTTACAGGTGTATATAATCAAGCACCTAGGCATGCAGACCACTTCTACAAACATTTGTGAAAGAATGGGTCACTTTCAGGAGCTCAGTGAACCCCAGCATGGTACCGTGATAGGATGCCACCTGTACAATAAGTCCAGTTGTGAAATTTCCTCGCTACTAAATATTCCACAGTCAACTGTTAGTGGTATTATAACAAAGTGGAAACGACTGGGAAGGACAGCAACTCAGCCATGAAGTGGTAGGCCACGTAAAATCACAGAGCGAGGTCAGCGGATGCTGGGACGCATAGTGCACAGAGGTTGCCAACTTTCTGCAGAGTCAATAGCTACAGACCTCCAAACTTCATGTTGCCTTTCAGATTAGCTCAAGAACAGTGTGTAGAGAGCTTCCTGGAATGGGGTTCCAAGGTCGAGCAGCTGCATCCAAGCCTTACATCACCAAGTGCTAGGCAAAGTGACAGATGCAGTGGTGTAAAACACACCACCACTGGACTCTAGAGCAGTGGAATGTCAGGTTTGCCCGGCTCCACCTTCCTCTCTTCTCTTTCCTCACACTAGCCTAGCCCTTGCACTGATTACACTATTCAACACACCTGCCCCGCTTCCCTGATTACTCACCAGCTGCACCTCATTAGTCTCCTCCATACTTATACACTGTTCACCAGTCACTCCCCTGCCAGTTCTTTCTCTGTCTTCAGGCCAGTGGTTGTTATGTTGTTTTATCACGTTTATGCTAAGATTGTCTTTGTTCTCTCTAGTCCTTGTTAGCACCCTAGTCGTTATCCTGCCCTGCCGTCTCTACTGTCTTCTTCCTCTTCGGACCTCTCCTCTGGACCCCCCTGGATTTAATCTACACCACCAGCCACCGCCTCACAGGTCGATGCACAGTCTCCCTTACCCAGTTTATCCCTGCTCTTCTGTCTACAGCCATCATCACCTCCACCTCAACCAGCCCAGGAGTGACCTCTGCGTCCGCAGCCCGGTACATCATCATCCACCATACCACTGACTGTTTTTCTGCTGCTGCTGATCGACACCCGGTCATCTACCTCATTACTCCTCCTGTATATATGTCACTACCTTCACTGTAAATAAACCTCACTGCTTGAACCGAAGCCAGCCACCTGGGTCCGCTTTTTTATCTGCTCGCTCACTCTGTGTTCGAGTGCACCCTAACATGAAGAAGTGTTCTCTGGAGTGACGAATCACGCTTCTCTGTCTGGCAATCCCATGGACAAGTCTGGGTTTGGCGGTTGCCAAGAGAACAGTACTTATCTGACTGCATTGTGCCAAGTGTAAAGTTTGGAGGGGGGATTATGATGTGGGGTTGTATTTTAGGAGCTGGGCTTGGCCCCTTAGTTCCAGTGAAAGGAACTCTTAATTCCTCCGCATACCAAAACATTTTGGACAATTTCATGCTCCCATCTTTTTGGGAACAGTTTGGGGATGGCCCATTCCTGTTCCAACATGACTGTGCACCCGTGCACAAAGCAAGGTCCATAAAGACATGGATGAGTGCGTTTGGTGTGGAAGAACTTGATTGGCCTGCACAGAGTCCTGACCTCAACCCGATAGAACACCTTTGGGATGAATTAGAGCGGAGACTGCGATCCAGGCCTTCTCGTCCAACATCAGTATCTGACCTCACAAATGAGCTTCTGGAAGAACGGTCAGAAATACCCATTAACACACTCCTAAACCATGTGGACAGCCTTCCCAGAAGAGTTGAAGCTGTTATAGCAGCAGTAAAATAAAAGTATTTGAATTGCTTCTTTCTTTTTATGTTTTGAAGAGACAGAATATGACATTACTCTGCTGACAGGGCTGTTAGATCAGAAAATGCTTACTTTGTAGAACCTTTTAATTTTCTTGCAGAAGCTCTCTATTATTAACCCTTATGGGTATCCAGTGATCTCCAAGGTTAAAATAACTATCAAACACATTAATGAGAGTTCATTGCCACATCTATGGCAATGAACAGTCAGTAGAAAATAATTTGCTGTGTTCCAGATGGATTTACACTGTGACATGCTGTTTGATGTTTTGACTCCCTGCTGTTATTACTTTATAGAATATGAAATGACACAGTAATTATGAGGTAAAAGACTGGCAGCTTTAATTAAAGGTTATATTCAATCATATGGAGTGAACAATTAAATAACTACTGTCATTTCACATTCAGGGTAATTAAAACATCAAACAATGTGTCACTGTCCAAATACTTAGAGAGAATCACAGGGAATGCACCAAAGAACAAGCTCAAACAGCAAATGACTATTTCCCTTTGAAATTCAGACTGTCATTGATATTCTGAGCTGGTGACGTGCTGACTGGCGCTGTGATGTGTAACACTTGCCAAGTGTTTAGACAAGGAAATATTAATCTCTAATTAATACGAGCATAGGGTAATGTCCGCTCAGAATGGCGCACACACAACGCAACCATCTTATCTCTTCAACACACAGTGGCATGGTTTTAACATAACACTCAATTTAATTTCTCATAAAATTCAACAAAATAAATAGGTGTAACCATAAAGTTTTACCTTCTGCTTCTCGCTCACTAACGAGGTAGAATTACCCAAATCACTGCTGACCCGGACACGAGCTAATGGCTGACGCCATTAGCTATTATCTTTAGCTCACAGTACTTTCACTCACTACCACGACCAATTCTCAATTGGTGCCAATTCTTTTTCTTCCTTTCCCTCGCGACTGTATCCGTAGTCGCTATGTCATATATCCAATTTCAATATTAAAGTGTCTTTGGCCTTTTCTGCTCACACTACCCAGGTAAACTCCCAGAACATGTAGCTCTTTTAATCTCTGTCCATACTCAGTTTTTCTGTTCTGCCACAGCCCTGACTCTACCCAAGGGCGGAACTTGTGAGGCGTATCTCACCTGACCCTGACAGTTCCTGATTGGTTTGGTTACTTATCAATCTTCTACTTATTTCTTTTCCCATATGACAGTGGAAAATGCACAACCCTTCACAATAAAGTTACCTCTATGTATCAGTTTTCGTTTTGTTTTTGTTTTTTTTTTCAATAACCACAACATCAGGTGGGTTACAGATGCATCATGGCAACACAAGGTTTAGCAGCTATATTGAGCCTGAGACTAAATGTAGGTGCAACTTGATTTTTAGCCCCATCATTCCAAAATGCTTCAAGAAAACACAGAGTCCTCCTATATGAGTTGATATGACATGGCAATACATAACGTATCATGTCATATCAGACTGAATGATTAATGTGGAAAAAGGCATGGCTCGTTACCTTGAAAAGAATAAGAGCAACATAAAAAACACTCACTCACTCAAATAAGAGAAGAGTGCAAGCAAGCATATTAACATTAATACAGCATGTAGACACCTTTGCAGAGATCATAACAAGGATACTATATTTGTATCATGAGAAAATAGTGTACTGTATATATTAATAACCACTATATTTACCCTCCATAACTACATTAGTCCAATACCAGGTGCTGTCTGGTTGCTCAGCAGCTAACATATACATTGTGCATACAATACTGTGGGCTCCAGTACTGACTTCCAACTTCTTCTCTACTGTTTCCAAGAGCTATCCTGTCATTACTCACTCTTCACTGGTCTATTTATAACACTATGTTCTAGCAAATTGGAAGCACACATACAGTATATAGAGGGCCAAGCTGAGCTGGAGGCAGCCCAGAAACGGGGTAGATCTGAGCTCTTAAAAAGGAAGAATTCCTGTGAGGAAGCTGTAGGTCACTTAGAGTCCCCGAAGAAGGAGAAACAAGAACCTTTAGCTTAAAGTACATCAAGCTTGTTCTTCCTCTGTTAACACGCTATCTACTCATGTTCTAGCACATGTTGAGGCTAAGCAGATATGATGAACTTGAATCCATATTTGACATCAATCTGCCAAGTGACGAGAACCAGTGCCTGTGGTCAAAGAACCTGTAAAAACCTTGTTTGATCATCCAACAATTTTTGGTTACCAGATTTACACCCTGTATTGGTTATTAAATAATACTTTGTGCACCATGACCTACAAAATGTCCAGGCCAGCCTTTGGACTAAACAACACATATTAATAATATACCAACAAATAAATAATAAAATCAGTGAGTGTACTGGTAATGTTTCCACTGCGAACCACATGCACTGAAACAGGACGAGGTCACCAGCGGGGTTATGTCAGCAAAGTTCAATCAGGGTCCAGCTGGTCTGGTCAGTGGATAGTTTTTACTTACATGAAAAGGCTGGCCATTCTCTATATTAATAGTATTGTCAACACTCCATATAGAGACTAAAACCGACAATGAATTGTCACGGTCAATGTCTGTCAGCTGTCATTCCTGGATTCAGGTCTGGGGTTTGCTAATGAAGAAATATGTCAACTAGTTCAGCGGTGTATTTCCCTGATGTATTATTAATTGTTTTTAAACAACAATGGAGGACTGTGGCACAGAAGAAGAGGATGATCCAGGACTGATGGACAATAACCATGACTAGAGGCAAATCATTGTCGGTTTAGTCTTTGTATAGAGAGTGTTGAAAATGCTGTTAAAAGAGAAAATGACTAGCCTCATCCTTTAAAAGTTATTGAGATGCACCAGTAAACCAGTTCTTGGAACATGTCACCAAGCAGCTGCTGAGCAAGGTCAACCAAGACAGCCGCGTCCTTGTTTTATGATTAAGTTAAACCTTTCCTCTGTTTTACTGTTTATCATGATTTATTTTGATTGTTCAAACTGGAATTATGCAGCTCGAGGTCAGCCCCTCAGATTTCCATCAATTTATTATTACAGTATTTTGTCCAGTGTTATAATTTCTGCTTGCATATAAAACTAGTAAGAAAATTTATGCTTTAATGCTGCAGGACTTAATAAAAGAGGTTATTTTCCCCACCATCAGTAACCCAGCAATGAAATAGCTTACTTTATATCATCTGGATAGCATCCTTACACATCTCACATGGACATTTTATATAGACAGCACCAATCCAAAGGTCTGCATGTTCTTTGTCTTTATGTAAATCTGATTTCAAGTCAGACCTGAAAGTGGGAAGACCCAGGAAGTCAAATAAGACCCCTTGGAAATTGTAATGCAAACCAAACCTGAAGAAGTGTTTTTATTTAGAAAATATAATAAACTGCAGTCAATCTTAATATTTGAATGGCATGTATGGTGTCATCCCCCCAATGTATTTCATCAGCTGATTTTGTTGTGGTATTTAATGCTCTTTGACAAGAATAACCGTGAACATGAGGAGTCCAAGGTTCTCAGTGTTTAACTTCAGCTGAATGTGGAGCTCAAGAGTGAGGCTGACAGGACGTTGGCAGAGAAAGTTAAGAAGATGGAACAAACCAAGAGGAATAGCCAAAGGGTGATCAA